TAAATCTTAACTTATGTCATGAGTTGAACAAGTAAATGTCATGTAACTGATATTGACTAATAAATGTCATTAAATTCTTTATTTAAATGCGAAGTAAAAAGAAAACAGTTTCTTTATATTAAAATAAATTTCTTACTCTATTGGTGTTATTTGACATGCAACTTAGATCCATTACGTATATCAGATCCTATTTTAGTCCTTCTATAACCGATAGACATTTACTTTATTGGTTGTCATATACTCTGTATGAGCTTTCGCCTAACTAGCGGCCGACCGCTATTTGCCACACGTCAAACCTTCATCCCGTCACTTTTTATATAAGGGGAAGAGTATAACTTTTTTTTATTTGTAATTTGTAGTATCATATAAAGAACAATATACATGTTAATACATACTTTGTACCACGTATATTAATTAAGAACAATAAGTAAATACCCGGCATAACTTATGAGGTGACACTGTCCATGCATAATAGTGTACACCCTCTTGCTTTTGTAACTCTAGCAATTAATATACTACGAGTACTTATTATTATTAATGAGATACTAGCATATAACATTTCAACATTGAATATTTACAACCGTTAAAACATGTTTGCCTGAGATTGTGTAAGATTTTCATGTTATTAAAAGAGGGTCCCGGGATTTTCATGTTATTAAAAGAGGGTTCCGGTAACTTTAAGTGTTATATGGTCTTTGATCTAGTCGTACATGTTCATAAAAAGATCATTTTTTTTCAAGTGATTTGACCTGTGCAAATTAAAGAGTGGCATGCTAATACATTTAAAAGATATTAGGAAGTATATATGCTAGTATTATATGCTAATTAAATTCATTTTATTTCATTAATTGAGCAAGTAAATTCTCTAATGTAACCGAAATTGACAAATAAATGTCATTAATTATTTTTTATTTTATTATTTAATATAAGAATCAATTTCCTTGTTATTTCTTGAGCTTTTGGCATGAGCCGATCATGATCTTTACTACCTCATTCACATTCATGAAAACAGTTCAAGTTCCTAAACAACTTTGAGAACCCAACAATATCAAATACTTATGTTTGGTAGCTGCTTAGTGTATCATATTTAGTTGTATACATACCGTTTAAGCCGTAAACAAAACAATATCCAGAAATAAAATAAATAAAATGGATTCCAGGATTATTATTATTTTCCAGCATATTGTTTGTGAATTGGAAGACTAAGGATTTTAACGATTTCAATTTTCAAACAACCCCTTTCATCAAATATGTTTAAAAGTATATGTATATCTCAAGTACATAACCAAAAAGAAATTTGAGAAATCATTTTTGTAAAGAGGTTGTGATTTAGTCACATCTGAAATGGGGTCATATCAATGAAGACAATGATCTAGTAAAATGGTTAATCTAACATTTTTAGATCAACTTTCTAAATTTTTATCAATAATTCATACACATTCATATGTAAAAAGGATTTCAAATGCAAAACTTAAAAGCAGAATGCATGGAATAGCAGATGTACGTTGTACCTGGAGGGAGAGAGACTATACATACGCTCCTAGCAGATAATTGTGTGGAGGATGGGGCGATGACCATTCCTTCTCCGTTGTTGGTTGGATAAAAGGGGGATTGTTCTGATTCCCTTGCCAAGAGATTTTCAAAGCCGAAAACAAGAATGAAATCTCGAAAGAGAGAAAAAAAAAGGTGTGCATAGCTCGTGCTGATAACGTGTTACAAGCCAACCATCAAAAGCTATCATTCATTCACATGTAGCCACATATATATACAAGGGAGGGGGAGCTAGGGTTACAATCATGATATGGGCCATTGCATATGGGCCTATGATTAATGGACATCTACTTAATTACATAACATAATTCAAAATTTTTGTTTTGTTATTCTATGCTTTTAATTGGCAAAATCTTATTGATTATATTTCAAGTGAGCTGTAGTGTATGCTTATTTTATGTCTCTTTATCCTACAACTATAACCATGTAAACAACATTTTTCGGTTTTTTTGTGTACATTATAATTTTATTTCATTCAATGTCATGATGTAACTTAAATCGATCACATACAATTGCACTAACGTAGATGATCATAAACAATTTTGTTTTTAGATTTGCTTTTTATATTTTCTTGTTACGTTATATACATTTGTATTTGGGGATATGTTTGTATTTTTACCTCTAAGTGGTTATTACTTCAATGACATACTAATGCACTTGTACGTATATTCTCATGTAGTGTGTTTGGTATTTGCTGCACTTTTTAATGACTACTTTTCTGCATTGAGTAACTGAACCTTATTCTTAATTATATTATTTGATGCAACTATATATGCTTATTTTGCACTTACCATACCTTGGTCATGCACTTCATATTTTTTACTTTTTTTTGCAGATACGATGTTGTCAATGAAACAATTATGACCTTTTGGAAGAAAAAGTGCATTGGATTCTAAAAAAGTTATCAATGTAAAAATGTAGAAAGTGGTATATAATAGTGCACTTTAGTATGTATTTCGAATGCATATTATAAAAGTGCATTTCATTTTATAAGAAAAGGGCGTATGTAAAACTTTAGAAAGTGTGATATAATAGTTCACTTTTGTTTACATTAAAAATGCACATGATAGTTGTTTGTTTTCCACCCTTGCATATTTTTTCATTTTCATTTTAATTAAAGTCGTTTTTATTTAAAATATGTTTGGAAGAGCACGAGTACATTGATAAATTGCAAATGTTATAGAAAGTGTAAGGAAATCATATAGGAATGCAAATTACAACTGTGCAAAATAACTTAATTAACATTTTATTAATTTTATATTCGTTAAATTGAAGAATGGACTCGGTAAGGTAAACCACTAATAGTGCAAAATTCTTCAAATATTTAATTAAAACTAACGTGATAATTGAGTCAACATGCTTATATATTTATATTAATTTTTATTTAAAACACGTATAGATGTGCACAATTGCATGGTTATAGTGCATGTTAATTTTATTAAAAGTGCAAACTAAACCTTTCATTAAATGCAAAAGATATTTAAAGTGCAAAATGCTTCACGGATAAGTGCATGTTCTGAAACTTTGAAATGCACTTAGTTTTTCTGCACATCCCAACTATGACTACACAATACTTATATTATGATCATTACTTTATGTGCATGCACCTTTCTAAATATGCTATTTTTACCTAGAATTTGGATAAGAAAAAGTTCTTAACATCTAAAATAAGAATCAATCTCAGTCGTCCAAAAAGTCAATTTGATGCACAATAAACTTTATCTGATGCATTTTTCAAATAAGCCCAATTTGATGCACTTTTCGAAAAGTTCATCAAAAAAAATTATTCCAATGTGCATTACATAAGGGTTATTGTGCATCGAATTAACAATTTAGACGATTGAGATTAATTCTTATTTTAGACGTTAAGATGTCTTCTCATTTGAACTCAATCCTTTTTACTTATTTTGACTGAAATTTTGCTAATATTAATTTCTGAAAATTTGTAATTTAAAAATCAAATATGAAGAGCATTTAATGGTGAGATACGTGGACTACTAAGTTTAAAAATAGTTGAAACACTTTTTAAAGCAATAAATAGTCATAATCATTACATGGTAATTGATTTGCTAATTAATAGGAAAGAGCTCCATATAATCTAACGTGGAAAATGGTTTTGATTTTGATTAGACATCCTTACCCTTGATGTCAATTAATATTAGACTTTCCCTTTTGAATCCACTTAAATTAGCCGATAGTTGGACTAATAAATTACGATCATCTTTTTTTGTGTCCGTTTGATCAATCATCATCAATGGTTATATTTCATTCTCGTTTCTCTCCTAATACACCATTCTCACCGGAACCATCCCATATATATATATATATATATATATATATATATATATATATATATATATATATATATATATATATATATATATATATATAAGGGCACTATTATATCTCATTTTCTAAAATGTTGCATTGACACTTTATATAAAATAAATGCACTTTTTTCTTTCGAAAGCATGACAATTGTTTGATTATGATGTGTGTTCTGATGTTTAAGACAAATAAAAATATGTGTTCTGTATGGAAATTAAAATAAAAAGAATGAAAACTGCATGGACAGAGTATAATGCATCAAATTAATCTAAATTATATGTTGTGCACTTTGGTATGAGTCCTAAACTCCTGGTGCACCTTCATTAGAATTTTTTTGTTTTGTTTTTACCATTCACTAAACATTGAATGAACTCTTAATAAACATGATACATATCTTTGTTATAGAGAAAAAGTCCCAAAAATAAAAGAATAAAATAAATAGAATGAGGAATACAAAAACTAAACACAAGATATATGTAAATACAAAGAAAATCAAAAGAAAAAGATGTCAAAAATAAAGTAGAAGATATATTTAAATATAAAATGATGAAGTGATCGAGATTTTTTATTTACAAAGCATGGAAAAGGGATGTCTTCTGATGTGACTCTGAACAGAGAATGATGAAGGTGCTATGAACGAAACAAAATAAATCAAATAAGGAGATTAAGAAATTTATTTTTTATTGGCTAAGAAAATAAAAAGTAATTTGATAAAGAATTACAGTGAATAACCCTAAAGCAATAAAAAATCAATAAGGTATTTGACCATGAGAGATTGTAGGAGACATTTATGAAAACAATCGATTAATAGTACCACCCCGAGCACCAGCACCAGCACCATCACTGCCTCTGCCTCCCCCAGCACCACTACCACCACTCGAGTCATCGGAAACACAAATGCCACATGCATTAGCAGTGGCGGATCCAGGATGAGAACTTATTGGGGGCAGAAAAAAATGCATCACAAAAAAGATTAATAAAGTACTAATGTAATATTACAATAATTAAAGTCTTACCAAATACATCACAATTGTTCGCGGCGAGTTTTCATCTTTTGAAAGAGATCCATTACAGTTTCATTTGTAACAGTTTCAAACACATCTCTTTCAATAAAACAAGTCAGACAATCACTCAAATACCTACCGCCAATTCTATTGCGCAAATTAGTCTTCACTATTTTCATAGCGGAAAAGCATCTCTCTACGGTTGCTGTGGCAACTGGCAAAGTCAATGCTAACTTTAAAAGCTTATACACCAAAGGATGTGAAAGATGTTTCCTTGTATCCACCATCACTCGAGCAAGATCACCAAGACTTTTCAATCTAGCAAACCTTTCATCCGCTAACACATTGTCAATGTAAATACTGACTTGATGCTCAAGAGTGTTGCGTTCCACATAACTGAAGTCACTTGAATAAAATTCAGCCAATCTCAACAACTTTGAAGCATCAAACTCACGGAAGGAATCAATCGGACTCAAAGAGGCCATGCAAAGAAGTAGCTCAGAATTTACCTCATTGAAACGGTCATCAAATTCACTAATTTGCAAATCCATTATGGTATTAAAACATTCATACTCATAATGATGCCGATTAGTGATATTAGTTCTTTGACGTGGCCTCCTTGGGTTAACAAAGTCCTCATCCATATTAAGCACAGAAATTTCATGCTTCTCACAAAATTCTAAGATCTTCCTCAAATGTGAATCCCATCCATCAGCTCTTACCTTAAGCAATTGTTGCTTTGTTGTTTTCACAAGTGAAACAGCATTCAATATGTCTTGATCTTTCTTTTGAAGAGCCACTGACAAAGAATTTGTGAGTCCCAAGATAAGCAACATCAACTGCAAATAAAACACAAATTTAAATGATTGAAAATATGTTAGAAGACCATTAGCCTGGCGTCTTTTCACACTGTCTACGCCCTCCACTTCAATGTACTCAAGGACTTGAACAACTGATGGAAACAGTTCAATCAAATTGAGAAGTGTTCTATAATGGGAACCCCAACGTGTATTTCCCGGTCTTTGAAGGGCAAGCTCCTGATTTAATCCTGTTCCGGTGCTAATTTCACCATTACTTATAGCTTCTTTAACTTTTTCTTGATGACTTTCTCGAATCATATCTCTCCTTTTGCAAGACGCTCCAACCACATTTAATAAAAGAGATATCATTTCAAAAAAAATCACCAACATCAAAGTGTTTCTTCGAGACCGCCACAACAACTAATTGTAGTTGATGAGCAAAACAATGGATATAGTACGTCGAGCTACTTTCTTTCATGATTAAAGCTCTCAACCCATTGAACTCACCTTGCATATTGCTTGCACCGTCGTACCCTTGGCCTCTAACATTTTTCAAACTCAGGCCATATTCAGAAAATACAGAATCAATAGCAGATTTAAGAGACAAAGAAGATGTATCCTTCACATGAACAACACCAATAAATCTTTCTTTAACTATGCCACACCGATCAACGTACCTCAACACCATAGCCAATTGCTCCTTGTAAGACACATCACTAGACTCATCAACCAACAAACTAAACACATCATCACCTATCTCCTTAAGCACAGAGTGAACAACTTCTTGTGCAAAACAATTAGCAATGTCTTTTTGAATGCTAGGAGCAACAACTTGATTATTTCCTGGAGCATTTTTCAATACAACCTTACTCACAACATCATTTTGACTAGCAGTATATTTTACTAGTTCCAGAAAATTTCCTCTATTGTTGGACTCTTCAGATTCATCATGACCATGATAAGGCAGTCCTTGATGCAATAAAAATCTTGAAACATCAATAGAAGCATTCAAACGAATACGATATTCATTCTTCACAATTTCACTTTGTCTATGCAAAGCAACAGCAATTGACTGGTCTTGGTTCATTAAATCATCACATTTTTTAAGTGCCTTATTGTGGAAACTATTTATATTACCCACATGAGAAGCTAATCGCTCCGTTTTATTCCAACTTGAGAACCCTTCAATTACAAATGCATCATTCCCAACCAGGGGCGGACCCAGGAAATTCACATTGGGGGGGCCGTAATTTAAAGAAAAAAAATCTAGTTGCTCATTATTATAAGTTATAACCTTTATACAATAGTAATAAAATGAAGCATTAAAATAGTACACAATAGGCAAAAAATAGAAGAAGAGACAAATATATTATTACAAAATAGTAAAGTTAATACCTTAGAATTGTGCTCGACGCTCCTTCAACGAGATAAATTTCTCAATCACGGCTTTTGAGTCAAAAGTTTTAGCAATTTCTCTTTCAATATAAACAACAAGGTTGTCTGCAAGATACTCATCCTCCATTTTATTGCGAAGCCTTGTTTTTATAATTTTCATTGCTGAAAAAGCCCTTTCTGTTGTTGTTGTCGATACCGGTAGAGTCAACAAAAGTCGGATCAATCTATCAATAAGAAAGTAAACTTTTGACATCTCTGTCTCCGCTAATCCTTGACAAAGTTCAGCCATTGTAGACAAATTCGCCAACTTTGGATGGTTTAGAACATTGAGCTTATAATGTTGCAATTGAAACCTCAAGCCCACCTTCTCCTGCTCAATAAAATCAAAGGGGTAGTATTTATCCACTAAAGAACAGATATCATCAACGTTAAAGGACTTATATGAGTCCTTAGGATCCAAAGCACAGCTAAGAGTAAGAAGATCCATAATCTGTTCATTGAATCTGTTATTCAGCTCTAACAATTGTGAATCTATGGCTGCGTAAAACATATCAACCCGATAGTGACGTTCAATATCAAACCCTTCTTGATCATGGCGTTTGCGTTTTACCACATAAGGAGACTTCATATTAGGAACTTCAATCTCATGCTTTTGGCAAAACACTTTAACAATTTCTAAGAAGTTATCCCATCCACCTTCCCTTAACTTTTGGATCAACATTTTGGTGCTTGACACCAAATGCATAGCATTTATTATGTCTTGGGACTTCTTTTGTAGATGCTGACATAGAAGATCTGTAATACTCATAATTTCTTTAATAAGATGCAACAAGAAAACAAAATCAAAAGATTTAATCTTCTTAAGTGCTCCAGCTGCATCTCCACGAGTAGAATAGTTATTGCCATTCTCTTCAACATCTTCTAAAACAAAACAAGTTGCAGCAAACATCCTAATCAAACTGCAAACAGAACTGAAATGCGAGCTCCATCGAGTTTCCCCAGCTCGTTGTAACGTACCAACCTGATTAAGTCCTCTGCCTGTTTCAAGCTCACCAATTTCCAACATTCTTGCAATTTCAAGTGCTTGAGCTTCCTTTAATTCATCATTTCGTTTGCAAGAAGAACTAGTCACATTAATAATAAAGACTAAATCGGTGAAAAAATTATGCACATATTTCACCTCTCTAGAAGCAACAACCAATGCTAATTGCAACCGATGTGCTAAGCAATGAACATAGTATGCATAAGGACAATCATTTAAAAATAATGCTTTCAACCCATTCCACTCTCCCCGCATATTGCTAGCACCATCGTATCCCTGACCACGAATGTTCTGTACATCAAGACAAAATCTAGAAAGAACTGCACAAATTTCTTTTTTGAGAGTCATTGCTGCGGTATCTCTAACATGCACAACATCAAAGAAATGCTCTCTAATGAACCCCTTTTCATCAACAAATCTCAAAATAATAGCCATTTGCTCTCTCTTAGATTCATCACGTGCCTCGTCAACAATAATGCAAAACTTAGAATCACCAATATCATGTCGAATCCTATGTTGCACTTTAGTAGCAAGAATGTGTAAGATCTCCTTTTGAATTTTGGGAGAAGTATACATAGCATTTTTTGGAGCATTATCTAAGACAACACTAGCAACTTGTTCATTATATGATGCTAAAAGTGAAATCATTTCAAGAAAATTACCTCGATTTCTAGAACTAGAGAATTCATCATGACCTCGTAGAGCACATCCTTGTGAAGCCAACCACCGAACAACATCAATAGAGGTCATAACCCGTAAGCGGTTACCTTCCTTCATCTCTAGAGTTTGTGCTTCAATGACTTTGTCAATATGGAGAGATTGATTCAATAAGTCTTGACAACTTTTCCAACAATTATTGTGTGGAGAACATGGATCTTGGCCCACATGATTCAGGAAAGCACATCTAGCCCCGTTATTAACTTTTTTCCAACTATTAAAACCTTTAATAGTGAAAGCATCGGTTCCATTACGAGTTATAGGTTTTGCAAAAAGGTAGCACGGAAAGCAATATGATGCATCTGTTGTGGGGGAATACTCCAACCAATGAAACTTTTGAAACCAAGAAAACTGAAATCTTCGAGGACGCTTCTCAATATGCTCGAATAACTTCAAATATGCAGAATGTATTTGATATGGCCCCATCTCCAAATATGCTCGAATAACTTCATCTCTTTGATTAAAAGGATATTCCCATATCTGAGGGCATTTTCCGGGATCACGTTCTAGATTCTTGATATCAAATGAAAGACTAGAACAACCCAAATATTTGGAAGTATTAGTAACTTCCACATTTGCAGTTTCTGCATTGACCGGATTACTTGGACTACAACTCAAATCAACAGTTTTTCTCTTAAAATGAGAGTCAATGCTTGTCTGCTTCTTCATCTTTTTGGTCATTCACTATATCCTTCACAAAGAATTTAGGAAAACAACTTTAAAACACTCAAAGGTAAAAAATATTTACAAAGACATATATGATATATCCTCCAGCAATTGAATCCTTCGAAAAAATCAATTGATAAAATTGATTAACTAATAACTAAGGACTAACCCTAACACTCTAAAAGGCTAAAATTATAAATTTATAATACAACTTAACACAAATACACAATCATAATTCATAACAATTAACAAACTAAGAAAGAAAAAGTCTAACAATCAATTGCCTGGAGCAGTGGAGCCGGACTGCGGGACTGCCGGAGCCAGAGAGCCAGAGAGATTGAGACGGAGGGGCAGGCGGGCAGCACGGCGTCGGCGTGGATGGCGGAATCACGGCGACCAGCCTGGTGGGCGGTGGGCGGGGCTCGGGCTCCTTTCTTCTTTTTTTATCTGAATCGGCGGAACATTCGTGGGTTGGGAATAAATTTGTGCTGGGGAAATGGGGAAAGCTATTCAGTTTACGCAGGTTTTTTTGGATGGGCTGGGGAAAGTTCTTTTGGGGTGGGCTGGAATAAATTTTGGGATGGGTTGGGAATAAATTTTTGGGTGGGCTGATATAATATTATTTCTACAATTTCTATTTTTTAGGCTATTAAAAAATTGGATTTCTGGGAGTGAGCTATGATTTGGGGGTGAAATTTTTTTTGGGGGGGTTCAATTTTTTTTTTGGAGGGGCGAGAATTATTTGTTGAGGGGAATAAAATTATTTTTCGTATATATATACTAATTTTTTTTTGGGGGGGACGACCGCCCCCCTGGGTCTCTACTACGGTCCGACCCTGTTCCCAGCACGATTCTCAAAGTGATCTCTAAACAAGTAACAAGGCAAACAAAAGGCTTTGTCATCTTGTATACTATATTCTAACCAATTAGGATATTGATCAAACCATTTAGAGTTGAAGCGTCTTAAAGTCTTCCCAATCTCTTTTTGTGGGAAGTCATGACCACGTGGTTGACAGGGTCCTTTAATCAAATATTTTCTCCTGATTTCATCTATTTGATTAGGATGGTACTCAGAAATTTTTCTTCTTTTTGCGGGATCTGAGGGAAGCTCATCCAAATCAACTTGTTTAGGTATTGATGAAGAACATTGAGATGCAATATTTGAAGCATTATTATTTGAACTACCCGGTGAAGGAACGGTAGCCCAATATCTCTTCATTGAGTATTTGAGTCTGGAAAAGAAGTTAAACTAAAATTAACTGTTTTAATACATTAATACATTTCATTTAACTACCTAAAATAATATATATTTTACATTTAGGGTTTCTACTTTCTAATAGTATAAAACATTCTAAAATTGAATTAATTAACAATTTCAGTAGCTCATCAGCTATATTAAATCTAATTGAACCTTCTAAAATATTTAATCTATGATGTGAATAAATTTAAAACACTATAATTATTAATTAGTTAAATATACTAATATGTATATAATTACTAAATATTAACTACACAAATACACAATAGGAAAGTAATCAACACTCCAAATCAAGTAATCAACACACCGTAATTGATAAAATATGACAAATTAAAGTGAAAAGGCTTACCTAGTTTTGATTTCCGGCTTGGAGTTGGCTAAATGGCTTCTGCCGTTCTGGACCTTCTGGTTCAGTGGTTCTGCGGCCGAGTTCTTCAGGTCGGTGGTCGGAGCAAGGAGGTTTTGGCCTTCTGGCTTCTGCGTCTGCGGCTGAGCGGCTCCGCAGTCTGCGCAAGAGAGTCGGGGCTAAGGGGCTTGGCATCTGCCGATCTGCGGACTAACCCCTTTTCTTGGAACGGGCTGGAAGATTTTGGGTTATTGGGGGCAGGCCATTTTTTAATTGGGGGCAAACAGCTGGGCTTTTAATATTTTTTAAAAAATTAAAAGAGTTTAATGGGATCCACCCCTGTGCATTAGTAAAGTCATATTTATGGCAATTCCAATGAAAAATTTGACACAATCAAAGAGTAATATGTCATGTTTTTGACAATCCTAAAAAATGATTTTTTTTTTACAAAAATGACATTTGTTACACCGGCAGTAGAAACGGTGGAAAAAACATCCATATAACCACCAGAAAACATTTACAAAAAGATAATACATGGGCAAAATGTAAAAAATCACCATGTTAAAGTAAAAAACATGGACTAATTGTGAAATTAATGTAATATTCGTAGAACCAAAATGAAATTGATACGAGGTACTCCCTCCGTTCGATAAAACACGTCTCCCTTTCCATTTTGGGATATTCTCCAATACATGTCTCTCTTTCAATTTTTAGAAAGTTCTTTCAATAAATATGCCTATATACCATCATTCTTTTTCCTACTTTTTTCATTCCCCTTCTTACTTTTTTCTTTACACACAAGTCAGTACGTCTTTTATCTTACCCTCATTAATTCCTTCTTAAGTCTTGTGTGAAAAGGCTATAGAGCCATCTATTAGGATGTTTTCTTTTGAACCGTTTTCAATCTCAGACCAGATCAGATTAGACCAGATCAGAACAAATTTCTTACGGAGAACAGAGGGAGGGAGTATAATATTCGTAGAAAGAGCGAAATTTTCTAATATCAATAAGATAAATCGGGTGTGCGCACTGAGCACAAACTATAAATACAAGGGAATTGCACGGCCAATATCCTCTACTCGTCAAATTCACCTGCCGGCTGCCGCAGTTAATGGAGGGCGTAGGCGCCAGATTCGGCCGGGTTTCGTCCCGGTATGGACCGCCGACGGTTTTCACGGGTCGGGTCCGTAAATGGAAGAAGAAGTGGGTCCGCGTGGCCCCGCGGAGCTCTGCCAACAACAGCAACGCCGTCCACAACCGAGCAGCTTCAAACAGCGAAATCAATGAAATTAACGGCTCTCGTCTTTCGCTTCTCAAGTGGACGCCCATCACTCCGAGCCAGAACAACACCAACGCCACCGGCAGTGGCGCCGCCGATGAGAATGGAAACTCTGATAGCTCTGTGAAACACGACCCAGTTGATGAGGAGCAGCCTAAGCGTAGATTTAAGTATATCCCGGTAAATTCTTGCGAATTCAATTTGGTTTTGAGACCGCATTTGCTTGGCGGGTTGTGGTGTCCATCATACGTGTTGTATATTGAGATCTTCTATTCTTTGAAGCCTTTATTTGTTTTGGTTTTGGGGAAAATTATATCTTGAGCTAGGGATTGTCTTAATGGTAGAATGTAATGTAGCTAGATTTAGGAGGGAGCTGGGTTATGGCTAGTGTATTTTTAAATTGAAATTTTGATCTGATTGCTTGTCGTATACTACTATACTCTCCACCTTTTAATATTTGTTCTAGTTTCTTGGCGCGGCCATATTTTTCAATTTATCTTACTTTAATCACTCTTTATAAACTATTCATTAGCCTGACAGTCCATTTTTTTAAAGTTGTGGGAAGAAACCTCTAGGAGCAAGTTGAGAACAACCAACTAAAGACCTAGGAAATATGTAGTAATTGCTTGAGTTCGGAATTGGAATAGCTATTTTGTTGAGGAAGAATTAAAACGCAATTCAGTTCCGAGAATCAGTGATGTGATCGATTATTTATACATTCAAAGATGATATTTTTTAAGCAGTGTTGCCATTTCAGGGCTGAGTGATCCATACAACTGTCACGAATCATGATAGGCAACGAAATGTTGTGATTCGCATAAGTTGGTTTGCCCTTCTAATTATGTCCAGTAAATATGTGATTTGATATTTATTTCATAAATCTTAATCCTTGACTTTAATACAAGTGAATTCAAAGATTTGGCGTGTCTTCATTTTTCATGGAAACAGAATTGGTTATGGTCAAAGCTGTAAAATATAGGTTTATAGGTTATGATGGCTGGGGTTCCACAATTCCACTGTTTTACTATGTGAATGCCAAGTAACAAATTTTAATCTCAAGTGCACTTATTCTAGCCATTTTGTTTAGTTATTCAATTTCATTAAAACTTAGCTGGAATATTTTCATTTTGTTTTACTACTGCTGTAAATGCTTAAATTTGTTATACCTTTTTTCTGCTAATTGGTTATGTGTTTCTTTGTGCATTAATTTGTCTTGGTAAATTATTTGCAAAGGTTGCCTTACTAGAAGAACAAAAGAACGAGTCCATAGAAATTGCTGATGATGAAACCAATCCAATTGAAAGTGAAACAGATGCGCATAAAACCACTGGTGCTGATGGTTTGGATGAAAACCCAGATATCAACGATGCCCCAGTTGACGAAAGCCAGGTACATAAGCAAATCCATCCTATTTTCCCAATATTTAATTCCTTAAAAGAAAATGAATAAAGCAACATAAAGGTTATATAAGTGGCTTTTTGTTTGAGCTAAACAATGTGATTCTTTTTCATATTTGTGTCAGGTTATTCTGCACTAATCCCCAATATGTTATCATGCACGTTCATATCACTCTATTTTTACCCATATCAACTTTGCACTGGTTTCAAATTATTTGTAATGTGGCTGCTTGTTGAAATGTCCATTGGTTAGGGTGTGTGGTTAAATGTAAATATATCTGGTTCATCAATTGGAAAAATGTATTAATGGATTAGAACCAATGAATATTTCTGCATTAAGCAAATGATTTGTGAATCTATTATTTGTTAAAATTGTATCACCTTAGGGCTTTTTGGATCCTGGAAAATGACAGGGAAAGGAGAACATATGCTAAGTTATTTTCTTATAAATGACTATCATGGAAAATGCAATGAAAAATGTTGTTTGAATGGTGTTTTATTTTCCTCAAGGTTTCTTTCCTTCCGATCTGACTCCTTTTCCTGAGTTGGGGTAACTTTCTCATGCACCCATCAATTGATATACATGACATAGAAATTGGATGGCTAAATCGATCATGGACGGTACTATATGGCATAAGAGCTTTTTCCTGTTTTCCTTTCCGTTTTCTTGCAATTTTTCGGGTTACAAACACACCCTTAAAAAAGTTCTAAATGCATTGTAATATACAAATCACCCAGTAATGATCTTCTCTGTTTGTCATTTTATCTCTGCTAAAGATCATCATAAGCATTTTTCTGTGACTTCTGTCACTTAGACAAAAATATAAAGCAAAACAGTATGGAAGGATTCCATATCAATCGTGAAAAATGGTAATGGATTTTATAAATGGGATACAGGAGGATTCAGATCAGAAGGATCTGAATGAAAGCGCATATGGGTTGAGTTTGGATTTGAATGCACAGGATGCAGAAGATGATACTGACTTGAAAACTAACCAGACAGAAGGTTTGTGATGGTCTCTCCACAGACTTTATTTATTAATAGTCAAATTGTGGCTCCTCTTTGGTCTTGTACCATTATACCCCAGGCTGCCCCAATTCTGTTAGCCAAAGCCATTTATGCTTTATGTCAAGGATATTCTAATTTGTATAGTGCACGGAGAGGTAGAAATACAATTTCTTTAGTCAATCAACTAAGTGTCGTTTTTCTTTTAATTCCTGAACTGTAAGTCTGGCGGGACAACTTTATTATAGGCGATTATTATATATTCTTCATATTGGACTTGGTTGGATGTAATCTTTGTATTCTGCTGAAATCCTTATGAATGTTAGCATATTTATCAATGTTGGATTCATTTGTTGAACTACTTTTTGGAATTCATTTGAAATTCCAACTTAGTTTACCCATTTGTCATGAAATATCTAATTTACTCCTGCTCCTCATTTCAAAATCATCTTGCCCTTGTTCAACTATTACCCACCTGGTGAACCCCCACAAGGCCACAAGGCCTTAACTGCACATCAAAGCTAGAGAAAATGAGTGTCGCTCCTTTGAGTTAGGCCATAAATACTAGTTCAACTATTCATTTATACAAGCCAATTGATTACCCTTGATTTTTTTTTAACTATTTCCACTGGTTACCTCTCCTGTCAATACTCAATATTAATCTCATTTGAATTTCTATAATAGCCAATTGGTCGAAGGTTCTATAAAGCTTCTATCATTGAATGTTAAAACAATTCATCATCGTAATTACGGAGTATAAGTTATGGTAGTAGTTGTTTTTGGGTGATATCCGATGTTGCACCCATTAATCTCATTTCTTTTAACCTGGTGAGTTTCCAAAACCCATGGATTTTGGGGTGAGGGCTAGGGAACATCTCATCAATTTATTAGAAGAAAAGGAGGTTACAAGGAGTAGGAGGGCTATATCAAAGTCTACTCAGAAGTCAGAACTAAATACATATGGATAGCTAATAGCGTCAAATTTAAGAATGCCAACAAATTTATTAGTGATGAGTCGTGGTATTAATCGAGGTGCTTTGCCATTCTAAGTAGTCATGGACCCGATCCGGTCCGACCGGCTTGGGAAACCAGTTCCGGGCCTAGGCCCGGCCCAAGGGGGTAAGGGTGGGTGATTCCGGTATACCAAAAGGACGAACCCGCCCAGCCGGTTCGGGCCTTTTTTTTTGGGGGGGGGGGGGGGGGGGGGCGGGGCTGGGTTTAGGTGGGTTGGGCTGGGTAATCCCGAGGGGTTTGGGGGATGGGGGGTAGGGGTTGAAATAAATAATAAAACACTAAACAAACGGAAGCGGCCCGACCCGGAACCAGTAGCCTCCCGGGACGGTCCCGGGCCTTACCCACAACCTTCCACGCCCGGCCGGGTCTAGGCCCGAACTGGAACCGGACCGGGCCCGGTCCACCACTAATTCTAAGTAGTCAGCTACTCCATTAATCTTCAGATTGATAAGAGTAGTTGTCCAATTGATTAAGAGTAGTTAATCGCAAAAAGTTAATTTACTACTCCCTCCGTCCCATAAAACTTTGTCATCTTTCCTTTTTGGGACGTCCCAAAAAACTTTGCGACTTTCCATTTTAATCAACTATTTTGTGGTTTCTGTAATTTCTCTCTCCTCTGCACAAACCTCAACCATACATTTTTTACTTTATTATTCTTCGTGCCGGTCAATTTTGGCAAAGTTTTAAGGGACATAGGTAATAACATTTTGTTTCAAACCGCATTTTGTTTCAAACCGATAATGAAAGTGGTTAGTTAAAAAGTTAATAAAAGAAACAAAAGAAATTCGTTCCAAAAAAAAGTTAATAGACTGTGCTAGTACAAAGTATTAATTTGCTGACTCTTTTTTTGTTACCAATTTGGGCTTCTCCTTTTTTACCAATTTGTCTTGGGAGGTTTTTTTACCAATTTGGTAAAATCCCTTGTTTTTTACCAATCTGGTAATTTGGCCTTATTAAGCCATCACTTTAATTTACAAGTATCGTTTTATTCTTTGAACCAGAATGTGTGCCATTTTGTTCTTAGCTATTGCTCCAAATTAATAGTGTGCACGATAAAAATCGATTCTAAAATTCACAAAGTAATGGATTCTTTTATATATAGAGGCCGTTTGGCAACACTGTTTTTCGGCTTATCAGACTTATCAGACTTATCAGTCAACTTTTTCAACAAACACGTAACTTTTGCTTTCGCGCGTTGAATTGTGTAATAAGCAGAAAAAGTAAGTTTGGAGTTACTTTTTTTGTTGTATTGGCTGAAGTTACTGTAGATGACCATTTTAACTATTTTTACATAAAAATTTTTCTTTATTTTATTAATAAAATATATTTTAAAAATAATTTTTTCTTAAATCAGCAGAATTAGCCAAATCAGCCGATTTTCGTGCTACCAAACGGGCTCATAAGCTAATAAAACAATTTGAATGTAGATATTTTTTGTAACAATCACAATACAAAATAAAAAGTTATAACACTTCAAAAACAATAAGTTTTTGAATTACTACATTGTTTTTTAATTATATATATGCAATATTGGTGGCATATGAAAGATAACAAAAAGTTATAAAATTTATATATTTCTTGTATAAATCTGTGTACAAATTAAGCAATTATAGCACCTTAAACAAATAAGTTTTTTTTTATATCCAATATTGATCTCATATGAAAGATAATAAAAAATTATAAATTTTGATATATTTTTTTATAAAAATTGGAGTACAAATAAAAATGTTATAACACTTTAAAAAAATCAAAGAAACTTTTTTATTTGGGGGACCCAGGCTATTTTCTCCCTCTTGTGCGCAGTAGGTTTTCCGTTGCTAGGGGGCAAATACGTGATTGCAAAACCCCCCGTTAACAAAACCGCCATTCTTATAAACAACCCATTATAAAAGAACGTGTCCAAAATTAAACCCATCAGCTTCTCTGATCTCCGGCGGGAATATGAAGGTCAATAATCTGCTGATGAGGAAGGTATGTAATACTCATTCAACACTTGATTTGTAAGCATTTACTCGCATTAAATTGATTTATACGTACGTACTCGATGAACAGGTCGTCATCATTGCCAATCTGAAGTTGTGCGAGAATATGAAGGTCGATAATCTGCTGATGAGTAAAGTATGTAATACTCATTCAACACTTGATTTGTAAGCATTTACTCGGATTAACTTGATTTGTTCGTACGTACTCGATGAACAGGTCGTCATTAGTGCAAAGCCAAAGATGTGCCGGAATATGAAGGTCAATAATCTGCTGATGAGGAAGGTATGTAATACTCATTCAACACTTGATTTGTAAGCATTTACTCGGATTCAACTACCGAACAACTGAATAGGTCGTCGAGCGGCCGTTGTTGCTCTGTGTCGGCGGCGGCGGCACAGATCCTAACGAGGAGGCTATACTCCAACAATCAATTAATGAGCACGGATTCTAATGTTCCGGCTGTTTCAGCTCCATATCAAACGGAGCAGGTGATCAATGTCATCGGGTTTATGCTCTTTGTGCTGTCTATTGTTGTTAAGACCTGGGGTTCCATCCTAAAAGATCAACCCTGATAGGAGGAGTAGCCCATGTCTTAATATAGCACTTCGTTGACTCAAACATTTCCGGTGTGAGATTTAACACCCCTCCTCATGACCAGACTCTGTGTCTAGATCGTGTCGTCATTCATTTTTTTTTTCGTCAATTCGTCATTGTCATTTTTTATAATCGTGTCAACCATTTTTCATAAGAGGGCCCACATCATGGATCGATTTAGCTCTGATACCATGTTAAGACTTCGGGTTCCATCCTAAAAGGTCAACCCTGATAGGAGGAGTAGCTCATGTCTTAATATAGCACTTCGTTAACTCAAACATTTCTGGTGTGAGATTTAACAATTGTACTTGCATCTGTGGAGTCCGTGAGAGAATCGTCCGCCCTGTTGAAATTTCTTGGAAAACCTTCCAATACTTCGAGCTCTTGAAGAAGAAGGTATATACTCTACTCCATTTCGAATATTGTCAATATTCTGTAGATTTAAGAACACCGCTCAAATTTGAGATTATTATTGTGATGACCGATTTAATGTATGAACAGGGGTTTACCAGTGCGGCCATCTACAACAAAGCTCTGACCGGGGCTGAGCCCCCCTCCGAAGCTTCTGAACCGCCAGAGCCTTCATGAGCCGCCGGAGAAGAAATGCTACTGAACTGTAATTGAATCCCCAAATAATCCCCTGCCCCCTGTATGAGGCATGATGTTTACACTTTACATCTGACATTTTTTCTCAAATCCTTAACATTTTTTTCTCTCAGTTTTTTTTTCAAATAGAGGTCTCGTCTTTAAAAAATCAAACTCCAAATTTAGGTATTTTTAAATCGGAGTGTTTTGACATTTTAATCACAATTATTCACAAAAATAGAATTTGCCATAAAATTATGTACAATAATAAAAGTATGGCTTTAATTATATATATAAAATGTGCGCAGTGAATATATTCATGGAAGAATTTATAGTAAAATATTATCCATCGGTAACAATGAAATTTGACAAATTTGTAGAAACCGTTGAAATTGGTCAACTTTTGGGTGAAAGAGCTTAATTAAGAAAAAGAAAGAAAATTTTATATAAAACTATAACAAAATAGTCCACTTTAGTCATTTCAGCCAATACAATCGGAAAAATAACTCTAATATTACTTATACTGATTATGTCCCGTGCATCGCACGTGTACAATTCTAGTAGAATGTTTCTACCGTGCTTCTCTCAAACATGCAAAAATGGCCTGTTTCTTCATTCGTGCCCTACCCATAATCACGTTGGCATCAACAAACTTTAGTCTATGGGTAAAAATTCATTTTGATCTCAACATTCAACTTTCTTATATAATTGGCTTAAATGTGGTGTTTTCATCATAGAATAATTGGCATACTACGATAAGGATTATTATATGAATTTCTCTTCTTCTTTTAACGTAAAATAGGGGAAAGAACTTGATCACATTTATTACAAAACAAACAATATTTCAGACATAGTTAAAACACGATAAATTTTAAACATGACAAATTAAATTAATTCCAGATATGCTTTTATCTTCACTAAAATAACCACTTGTGATTGAATTGGTCTTTTTGTAATTTTCTTTGACATTTGTTCATTTCGCACGTAAAATGTTCATCCCGTCATGTTTCAATTGTTTACCACTCATTGTATACAACATCTTTTTACGCTAAATAACTTTTTATTTGCAAGTGCTTTTATTATGTTTCTTTTTATGTGCATGTATATACTTGTCAAAGTGTTTTGTTTAAACTTAGGTAAAACGTTGTGCTCGATACTCGATACAAGGTAACACAAAATGCAAATCCTAAGGAATAAAAAATAATTAACAATTTTTA